CATACAGTGTTGAATCTTGGTCTATTTTTCTTGTAATTTGACAGGTGAAGCAGATTGAGAAGAGAGATTCTGTTTTAACCTCGAAGCAGCAGATTGAAAGACTGCTCAGGCCTGGTTCATCGTACTTCAATCTGAATCCTTTTGAGGTAACAAAGTGTTGAAGTTGTGTGTTAAACACAAGAAGCATAGCACAAGCCTTGCATGGTATTGTTTAAAAGATCTTTAATATCCCAAGTATTCCTATTCAATTAATTCTCACAAAATTTTCAGGTGTTACAGATTGATCCAGAGGCAACAGATGACGAACTGAAAAAAAGATTTCGGGCGGTAAGAAATGCATAGCAGTGGTTTCACTGTCAGAGATGTGTTTTCCTTTATTTTTTTCCCTAATTGCTGGTAGTCTGTTATTAACCTCTGATCTTCATTCCAAACTGTGCAGTTGTCCATATTGGTCCATCCAGACAAAAATCAGGGTGATGTAGACAGGGCACAGAAGGCCTTTGAAGGTACAAACACTCATGTTTACTTAATTATGTGAATTTAATGGGATGGAAAATGTAAACGGTGTAATTGTAACATAAATTGCACCTGGAGTTGAATTTGAAATTGGACGGTCTCAACTGAAATTTTGTGTGTTCAGCTTTAAATGATTGAGGTTGAATGCATACGTTTCAAGTTTGAATAGTTCTTTTCTGCATTTGTAATGCTGCTGTTCCAAAACGTCATTATTTCCGTAGCTGTGGACAAAGCATACAAGCTCCTGCTGGATCCTGAGCAGAAGAAACGAGCTTTGGATGTAATCCAAGCAGGACAGGAATATGTGGAGCATATGGTAAAGATGAGATGTAGATGTGAAAAGATTTTTGGTCCAGGTTAGTTGGACTGAATAAGCATCACTTATTTGGTAATGTTTGTTTTTTTGCCAATGATAGGTAAAGGAGAAAAAAAAACAGCTGAAGAAGGACGGGAAGCTTCAGGATGTGGAGGAGGATGACCCTGAACTTGTAAGTCAGTAATGAGAGCATGAAAACTTATGTCCTAATAACACTAAATGGCATTATGTCATAAATATATGATGTGAACTATGGCTCTTTTTTCCGCTCTCTAGTTTAAACAAGCAGTGTACAAACAGACCATGAAGCTGTTTGCAGAGCTTGAAATCAAGAGGAAAGAAAGGGAAGCAAAGGATATGCACGAAAGGTAGATGACCAAGTATCTGAGTCCTGGTTTTTGTTGAGAGAGTCCCCATAGAAATGTTCCTGGGAAGCTGAACATTTTTTTCGGAATGTCGTATTTTTGAAAAATTCACCAGGAAAAGAGCTCGTGAGGAAGAAATTGAGGCAGCTGAGAAGGCAAAGCGGGACAGGGAATGGCAGAAAAACTTTGAGGTATGTTCTTCCCTCACTGTAGTTTATATGTGGCAAGATTTATTTCTCTTTAATGATCATTTCATCGTCACATTTGCCAGGAAACGAGAGATGGGCGAGTGGATAGTTGGAGGACCTTCCAGGCTAAAGGCAAGACCAAAGAGAAAAAGAACAGGTCCTTCCTCAAGCCCCCCAAAGTCAAAATGGAACAGAGGGAATGATGCTTGAGAATGGACTTATACAGATAAAAAAAAAACATCTGTTGGGAAAAATAAAAACTCCCCGTTTTGTGAATGGTCACCCGTTTGTCTGCAGTCAGCTGTGTACCTGTCATCACACAGTCATCAGGATATGTCTTGGGACAGATCCTCTATCCCAGAAAAGTAGTTTTGTACAAGTACTTTGTTTTTCTAATGTACATATTTGTGATTTGGAGCCAGAGGTCATACCTTCCGTGTGTTAGAGAGAGAAAAGGTTCATCTTCCATTTATGTGACCGAGGAGAAATGGAGGCTTGTCATTGTTTTGTTTTTTTAAATAAATAATAAATAAAAAAAATCATGTCTATTTTGCTGTGATCTACAAAGCAAATCAGTTAACTTTCAGAATAGGAAGGTACAGGTAGAGTTCTGAGGATGGTTATTCGGTGGTATGAGACAGTGTTTCTGGGGAGTTATTTACTGTATTTTAACCCTGTACTTCAACATATGCTAACAGGAAGACATGCAGACACTAGCCCATTGAATCCTAACATTAAACATTTTCTTTTGAGTCAACAGCACAGATTCAAACTGATTGTGTGTCAATATTGGGACGGTCCTGAATATCTTAAATGTGTTAATGACAATAAATACACCAAACAGCCTGGTGGTGTTTCTACGTTATTTACTGTTTGTTTCTTGGAAGGAAAAAAAGTCAATAAAACCATTTTGCCTGCTTCTTTAGTTTCCGTTGTCATTTCAATAAAAAAAAAAGAAAACTCAAGTCAGTGAAGTGGTTCCCTTTTAACATTCATTTTTTTAAGAAAAAACAGCTTTCTTAGCTGGCAAATAAGTGAGTACAGACACTGCAACGGCTATTCAAAAGTATAAAAAACAGCAAAGACATTGGAGCAGATCAGATAAAAGAGGTTTCCATTGTCTGGGGGGATACGGTGAGAAGTCATATCACTTTTATTGAGTTTCGTTAGAAGGGAAACCAGCAGCATCTGATTGTCCTTAAGCGGTCCGGCTCACATGACTTTGCACTGATCTCCACCTGCAGCAGGAGCTCCGCCTGTGCCTCCCATAAGTCCGTCCAGACTGAGCCCCTGAAAGGCTCCAAAGAAGGAATCGTCTTTGGCTGACATGGGTTTTCTTGAGGCGCCGGTGTGCTGCGGGCAACAAGAGGGGGCAGTGATGACGGGGAGCTGCGGGGGAGCGGGGCGGGTTCAGGCTCAGCAGAGCGGCTCACTCACCTTCGGGAGGCAGTGGTGGCTCCTGAAGTGGGTCTGTCTGACCGTCCGCTCGGCGTTCTTCTTGGCCAGGACGGCTTGCTGACGTTTCCTTTTGGCAAACGGCACAGAGCAGCATAAGACACGGCACATGGACAAGTAGCTTATTCATGTGACAAACAGCCTGATCCTCGTTAAGCCAGGTCTGGCCGGCCGAGGTCTCAGCTGGATAACAAGACAGTCACTCATCAATTCTGATTCTTCAAGAATATATGCTAACACATAATCTATAGCAATTTTGTTTCCTTTTTTTTTATTTTATTTTTTATGAGAATTTCAAAATGCCATTGGAATCAGACCCTGTCTCCATACCTCTCTTTCTTCAGGTCGTCCTGGTAGGCTCTGAGCCAGGAGTCCGGGACCTTGGGGCTGCTGCAGGGCAGGCTTCTCCTCCGGCCGACGCTCTTCCTGCGGGTGAAGCTGGACCTGCGGACCGACTGGCTCCTCTTCCCCCCTCTCTTGGCGGAGGCCTTCTTTCCGGACACGCAGCTGGTGAACTGCTTGAGGGGGGCCCCCAGCGACATGAGGGAGTCCATTTGCGGCGGCGGGCGTTGGCGGCTTGGTCAGACGGTTCTCTGCCGGCTCTGTGGGGAGCTCAGCATGCGGGTCCGCTCACTCCTGTCTCGGCTCAGCTCACGAAGAGCGTGCGTTGCGAAAACTTTTGGATCGCTGCAATCTGCAAAATACGACAGATTTCAGTTCCTCCAACAGCTCCTCGATTCCATTAAAGCGGAGGCAGCTCACAGATATCTTAAAGAAAGGCAGGGACTGACCTGAGAGGGCTATCTCCTCCTGACACACTCAGCTCAGAGTCTGTCTTTAAAGCTCTAAGCACACAGTGTCCATGTGATGCATCACACCTGGTCGCGTCTGTACTAACTGTGCTCCGCCAGCCTCTGCTCTTATGGGGATTTAACTGCTGACCTGGGATTAGCTAAAGACACGCAGGTTCTTTATCTCATTAACGAGAGTCCACAACAAATCCTGCCACCAGTAAAGACCGGAATGTTTTGATTTGGCTGGCAAAACAACTGATCGTTTTAAGTCTGAAGGTGGTGGATTTTACATCTAAAAAGGCTTACATTGGGTTTAAATGTTGCATTTCCATCTCCTGTGGCGTCAATAAAAGCAAAGGTAGATGGGAATGTCGGCTAAAAACAGTCAGAGGGAGCTGACAGATGGAGCGTGGACTGACTCGAAGCTGGCAGCTGATGTTTTGATGACGCAGGAAGGATTCCCTCCACACAAAGCAGCATTTTCATTGACTGAAGTCTTTAATGGCAAAGCTGAATGACTCATTTCATTCACAGACTCATTCACTCCAGATTTAGACCCAAGACTGGAGAGTGAACACCTCCAGAAATCCAACAGGTAAACAAGACCAATCAGATTCCTGATGGAATAATAGTACTCATTTTAATTCTATGTATGCAGAAGATTAATTTTCTAGCTGTCGGCACAGGCCTGTTTTGCACTGAAGCCAACCATAGGTGTAAAGTAGAGCAGAAAAGCCCTCAAAACATCTCATTTGCCAGACAAAATCGAGCTGGGTCCTAATTTCACCAACGCTTAAATAGCACAAAAGACTATAGCCACTTTCCTAAAATAGGTTGTTAGGGAAAAAACAGCATTAGTGAGCGAGGTTAATAAAAAGGAATTACTGTAACGGATCATTACCGAAAAGATGAGGGAAGTCTGCCCAGCCTTGCTTCTGGACACCTGCTGGGACAGATGATCCACTCGTCTGTCACTGGAGCGTGACACGGTGACAGCTGCTCTGAGTTTTGGAAGGGAATGAAATACAAATGAGTTTAGAAAACATACGAGATAGGAAAAAAAGAAAAGAAAAAAGGGCACCATTATATAAAGCGTAAAGTACCTGTGTGAGCAACTGTCACAGTTAGACAAAAAGTCTAGAAAAACAACAAGAAAATATGAATTTACAATAAATACCGAGTCATACGATTCACTTCGGTCAGTCTTTCTTCTGTCTTTAAGCATCTCAGTAAAGGTATAAGTTGGTTAGGTAAGAGATGGACTCAGACACAGCGAGTATTTAAAGACAGAACACCTCTCTTCAGCCACCAGAGGCCCAAAATGTCACCGAGAGCAGCATTAGCCTTTGGCAAGAGATCTTTAATTCTACACAATAATACATATATACAGTTTTATACGCTTTAATAATCTCATACAAAAAAGTAATGTACAGGTAAGGAGTGGGGACTATGACCTATTAGAACTCAAAAATAAATACCATCAACAGGATCTGTGCTTAATCTTGATGTGGAGACTTCGGGTCTGATGATATCAAAAGAAAAGGCAGCTTTTCAGTTTGGGTTTAAAAGTATGAAAATGGTGCCATGACTGACGCTCAGCTAAACTAGTGAGTAGAACATGAACTAGTCACCCACTCCATTCACATTCCTGCACATACAAACACACTCACACACACACACTCACACTTAGAAAACATCGCATAACATAACAAACATGTATATTCATCAATAAGTCAGGCTACAGAGAGGCCTGTGTGAGTGGAGTGTCCATCACCGTCATCTCACTGGCAAATAAGAGCGACCGCAGAATCAAGAGTCATCATAGAGGGAAAGTTTTACACAGAAAACAAAAAAAAAAAAAAAAAAGGGGGGGAAATTATTTGCAGTTCGAGTGCTCAACATAACTGTAACAAAAATGTCAGACCCTCGTCTAGGCTGGAAATGCGCTGCAATTTCTAAGGAAACGAGACATTCAATTTTACTGACTTGATCTTAGAGAATACTTTGCATTTCACCATAATTAAAACGACTCGGGTGAGAAGTTGTGCTGCATATACAGCTCCTCCTTTTATGCTTGACCTCAGAGTTGGAAGACATTTCTTCTCCCAAACTTTTTTTTTTTGATGTGTCGTTTTTGTTGACCGACTGTAATAGTGCTCATTTCCTTTAAGAGGGTTACATCTATTTCACATGCTGATGAAGATAAAAAGCAGTCGGACGGAAGGGAGGAAGGTGGCGAGAAGTCGAAAGGAAGACAGGAGCTGCATAGAGAGCTACTTGAAGTATAAATAATTTTCCATCTAAGACTTTTCAGCTCGTAAATAGGCTTTACCACTTGAAAAGATTCATGACTCTTCTCCAGTCGTCTGTAGGTTATTTTGGTCTCCACTGCAAAAACATGCCTCCTGTGGCTGCAGAGGTGGATGTCAGAGGGGGGGAGGGTGGCTGAGCAGGAGCTTATGGTGTCCATGCTTTCATGACAAACGGCGGGAAATCTCTTCCACTTTATTGAACGACTGAGCTGCTCCACGTGGAAAGGATTTGATCTCCTCGATCAGTCAGTCTTTGCAGGCTTGTGGGTCACCGACTAATGTCCCGGTTCCCCTCCCAGGTCTTGCTGCTCGCCGCCTCGCCAATGCCGCCGTTCTCAAAGAAGGGGTGTTTTAAAGAGTCAGCCAGCACCAGCCTCTTAGAGGGCTCATACTCCAGCATGCTTTCGATGAGGTCAAATAATTGGTGGTGCTCCTCTGCCTCTGACAGCAGATACCGCTGGTGGGAAAAACATCAAAGGAATGCATGAATAAAACACCAAGCAAAGGATTATTCAATAAAATGCATTTTTTTCTGTTATAGTTCAAAATCATCTCCCTCCCAACGCCTGCCCCCCCCTTACCCGCAGGGGTTTGCAGTTTTCTCGGACATATTTCCCCGCTGAGGAACTCTCATCCCAATCCAGACGGCCACGGTAGAAATATTTCTGTTTCCTAGGAGTTTTAGGGGAGAGGTGTGAGCAACGTTTGAGGTACAATGCTTCTCACATGAAAGATGAATGAAAGGCTTTACGAAACTAGTTTCTAACCTTGTCTTGCGAATCATCCTAGAGGGCACTGGTCCCAGGATTCTTTCCATCATGGCCAAATGTTCCCTGTTGTCATGCGTCTGAAAGACCGACAACAATCACCGTTTAGTGGGGGAAAAAAGCACCAGGAGTGGAGAATGACTCAGCCGCATGGGGTCATCCAACAGCTCAAACAGTGCTCACAAGTGACTTGTATACCTGAAACAAGGTGAACCCTAGGTAGTACTCAAAGAGGATGCAGCCAATACTCCACACATCACAGGGATGACTCCAGCCCAGTTCTGAAGGAAAGAGAACATGTTGAAAAATGGGCCCTTTTTTGTTGGAGCTTCAGGCAAGTGTTTAATCTTATGGGATTTACTCTCAAGTTTGAATACAACAGAAATGTCAGCACTACACAAAAAATTGTGTTTGCCTCTGACCGCTGCATCGATGTAGTACTTTTGGTACTGCATAGGTACATATAAACTGAATCAAGAGAGACAACGTCATCCAATCAGAACAATTATGCTCAGGCTTTTCTTAAAAGGAAAATCAGGACGGTGACTCAGGGTTCTTGCTTAACAAACTGATACTACAAAGTGAGGCCAGAACTACTCAGCTAAATCAGCTCACACGGGCCTTGACCACCTGCCACACCCCAAGTCACTCACCTAGTATGACCTCAGGGGCGCGGTAGTGCCGTGTAGACACAATGGTACTGTGGTGTTCGTGGTCAAAAGTGGCACTGCCGAAGTCCACCACTCGCACCGCTGTGCTCTTCACAGTCCGCTCTTCTCGTTTCTGTGGGACAAACAACTGTTTTTCCAAGCCATTAAGATAAAAAATTATTTCCGATGCAAACATTGTGCAACACAGTGGCTAAAATTGACTAATTCCACTGTTTTGTCTTTAAAAAAAAAGAAAAAAAAAAAGAAACACACGTGTCCAAATACTGTTAAGATAAAGTGAACTGTTCTTTATGGGCTGCCTCCATTCTTAAAGAAGCAAACTCAGATTGGGGTGCAATCGAACTGAAACGTGCAGGTAATGTGGACAACTTGGGGAATATCTTCCTCCGTGACCGTATTCAACCTCTTTTTCTTCACATTTTTTCTCTTACCTTCTCTACATTGTAGGACATGGTGAAGTCTGAGTTGACAAACAGGATGTTCTCTGGCTTTAGGTCGGTGTGTGTCAGCTTATTGTCATGGAGAACTAAGGAGGGGGAAAAAAAAATCGTAGTTCTTCACCATGAATAGCTTATAGCTCCTTACAAATATATCAGAATTATCAATGGTATATAGATGCCTTCTTTCAGACTTCTTATCTTTTCACAACATTAATTAAATTAAATTAAAAAGTAATGGTAGCATCACAGTGATGAGCAGCACTGAAGTTAAACAGTGCTGTGATATTCTGATACAAGAAAACGCAAAAAATAGCGACACTCAAGGAGTGTCCACAATTTAAAAGGCTTGTCCGTGACTTTTTATCATCTTATTGATTTTTTCCCCACAATATTAAAAGATTTAAAACAACCCCAATGACCGAATATGTTTGTTGGGGGAAAAAATATTACTAAAAAGATCAGGTTACAATTAAAAGGGTATTAATAGTATTTCTAATTCTCCTTTTCATGAAAACATTTCATTAAGACATGAGAATTACTTACATTTCACAGCAAGACAGACTTGGTAGGCCATGTGTCTGACCTGACCAATTGAATAGGGCAGGTAGTTGTTTTCCTTTAGGAAGTCAAAGGTGCTCAGAGCTAGCAGCTCAAACGAGATGCACATGTGACCGTGGTAGTCGAACCAGTCATACATCTGTACACACAAGCTGCAACAGAGACAAATAAATGAGAGCTTCAACAGTGTCACTAATGTAAACACCGCTTCACAAACATGACTAAGGAACCTCTTTGGGGGATACCAAGTATAATATATATATGGGCTTTAGGGGGAAATGGCAGAGCAGAAAGTTTAGACTTTTGAAAAGAAGCCTCTTAAAAATTAGCTCAGTTAACTACATTTTAGATCATCATTACTTCATGTTTTAATCAGTCAGAACTCACAATTTGTTATCTGGGTCTTTGTCATTTATCTTCTCCAGCACATTAATCTCCAATCGAGCTGCTTCCTTGTATTTCTCCACATTCTTGATAATTTTCAGAGCTACACGGGCTCCACCCCTGCAAAACATTTGGCATTAAATCAGACAACTTTTAACAGATAAAAATCAAAGCAGAAACCCCACAGACCATAAACTGCACAATATCCATTGACCATGTGATCAATGAGATGTGGTAATGACCAAGTCGTTCAAAGCAACATGGCATGACCACTTCCCCTACTGGCAACTCAGATGTACATTACCTATTGTACCTGACTGTGCATTCAATCAAAATGGACTTGGTTCTGTTTTCATGATAATCAGCCTGACTGGAATGTACTGGAAACATTTTCTGCTTAATACTCTTAACTCTTGTTTCTAAAAATCAAGCACACTTAAAAATTCCCCGGCGAGTACCTTTGGAATAAGACCCATAGAGACCAACGGCTGTTGTTTTACAAGTTCAACTAATACACACCTGCGGTGGTCCACACACTGCATCACCCTCCCAAAGGTGCCTTCCCCAAGAGTACTGACAATCTCATCTGCAACACAACACAGAGAAAAAGGAAGCGAGGGATAGTGGGGGAAGAAAGAATAGGAGAATTAGACACATGGGTTCAGGCAAGGATATGTTATGCAAAGGTTCAGACGGGCGAATCGATGCTAGCGCCCATCCTTTCCCAAAACACTGCCAATTTAATTGGATAGGCTCTAAACATACTGTAGTATGAGAGGTGAACACAGATTAGAATGCAAAACAAGAGGGCAACTATACAGCCCTCCCTTCTTCTGATGACCAATTGGCAGCCACTAAAAGTCACAGCAGACTTTTTATGTCGCTGTCTATACCCAGAAGATAGTACAGGTGAGGCTACGGTTGTTTACTAATCCAATGTTATCCTGAAACTGAATTCTTAGGAGAGGTATTAAAACTATATAATTGATATGCATGTGAGCCTTCTACTACAACCTCTGAGAGCATTGTAGTGGAAAACAATTTACTTAAGTTACAGATTCAAAATCTTTAGTGTTAAGCTACAGCGCAACAAAAACCCAACAAAAAGCTACAAATGGGATTCTATGTTAATAGAGGTCAAGTAACCTGTGAAACAGAGAAATGCTCCACAGCTTTAAATCCTAGAACAAAAAGGCAGGATGGATCTAAAGTCCCTTCCAAATTCTTCAAGATTTTTGCACTCCACCCTGCTACTTCAGCTTGAGCGAAGAGCATTCTAGCAAGGCATCATCATCAGGCACTCCCATGTCATGTAAATGCTCTATGCTTTATACTCATATGGAGAAGGGTTACGATAGAGTAGTGGCAGTGAGTACATCTCTCTTGCAGGACGTCCCCACTCCGACAGATCAGGTGCCCTTCCTCGTCGTCCCTCACACTCAGTGCCCTCGTCCGGCTGTCGCTCCGCTGTTTTCACACCCAAACCGCCATCAGCAGGTCACAACACAACCGAGGGGAACAGGGTTTTCAGTGGCAGCCGCAGCCATGGCATCAGGCGGCACAGGTAGATGAGGAGGGAGGAGGAGGGTGGTGTTGGTGGAAGTTGTGGTTGTAGGTGGGTTTCGTGGTCATGGAGCGAATCACGCATGACACCACGTGAGGAAGGAAATATATAACGATAGGGATATAGTGCAAGGGAACAAGTCAAAGATCACATGTTGTCCTCTGCTCCTCTCCCCCCTCTACCCTTAAACCTCAGCTGCTTACAAACAAGGAAGCAACTGGCACATCCATTCATGATCGCAAATACCAGTCAAGACAGAGAAACAACTCAATCAAAAAATTAAATTGGAGGAAAAGGAAAAATGACTGGGACATATCTGTTCAAGAGAGTGATATCTAACGATGCCCTCAACATACATACTAGATCAAACTCCACGCCTGTGCTTAATCACATATATATATTTAACATATGTATCATTTATATATGTTATTTGTGGTTAAACTTGCCTCACACGAGAAGAGGGCCCTAAATATTTAAAATTTGAAATTCAACTCCAATCTAAATTTCAGCATGTTTGGTAGAACATTTTCACTTTTTTGGCCCATGAATACTAAAATTCAAAAGTGGCAAAAAACAAATATGACAAAACATTTTCAACTTCATCCACAAAGAATTTTTTTTGAGAGAGTCAGGCAGTAAAGTAAGTAAGCATGACCGGATGCAATAAGGTTTTCAAAAGAAATGGGTAAGTTAGTGAGGATGTAAGCGTGAAGAACAGAAAGAATTTATTTTATCATTACTGAACTAACAAAAAGTGTTTATATAAAATGAAAATGCTCTGCCAAAAGATATACCAAATCGCAGAAACCCAATTAAACAACAAAAAAAAAATTAAACAAAGCCAAAAACAAATCATAAAGAATGTACTACTTACCAAGTCCACAGGCTGTAAACAACAAATGGTTAGGGAAAGACAGAGAAAGGCAGGGCTGAACGAAAGAAGCAGGAGGCAGAAAGAGAAGATGAGGAGAGCTAAAAGTCCATCTCAGGCATGGCTGTACTCACCGAGGATGATGGGCTATAGGACCTGGTTCTACGCCGCCTTCGTTTGTGCTTACGCCTGCTGCCTTTCCGGCGGTAAGACTCGTCGCGTTCACGTTCTCTCTCCCGGCCACGTCGGTAGTCGTACATGTTTGGGGAGAAATCCCGTGGATAATAGCTTTCAGCCGCTCCGTGTGGCTCCCGGTCCCGTTCTCGACTCTGATCCAGCCGTCTGTATCCATCGCAGTATCTTCGATCAAATGGTCGATGTTCCAGTGAGCGATTGTCATAACTGCGACTGAACCAGCAGACAACCGGACTGAGTGATAAATAAATAAGTTAAAAAAAAGAAATAACCAATAATGAAATGTTGTCATTAAATATTTGATCTCACATCAGGTCATACCTCCTTGAGCGTGCGTAGCTTCCTTCTTGTCTGTGCCCCCGTCCCCTTCTGTCTCGGTCTCTTTCTCTGTCACTACTTGATGAGTTGGTAGGTGATCGTCTGTGCCGATGACGTCGACCTCTGTCTCTGTAACGGTCATGGTAGCTGCTTCGGCTGTTTCTTTCCGAAGACGAGTACCGTCTAGTGTGAGGCATCTAGTGGATTGTTAGAAAGACAAATAAAATGTTATACTCAACCAACTACATCAAAAACTTGCTAATGTCATAGTAAAGAGGAGCAGTAACATTTGAAGTTAATTAACATTTTTTGGTTCCTTTGGATGGTTTGTGATTACCCAAAATTCACACAAAATGGATAGCTGCTTATTGCCACAGTGGTGATTTACTGGAGATAGAAAAGGGATCTACTATGTAGCTAATGATACTCATAAGTAACACTAAATCGTTATCTTGAAAACTATTGTAATTGGCATTATGCAATAATTTGGACATGAAGTTCAGCTGAGAGGTTAAGTAGAAAATAACTCTCTATTAAACTCCCCTAATAGAAAAAACAAATACAAATGACCTACTATTATCAGTATGAGGGTTTAGTCGACAAAATCAGGTAAGGATTTGGAATTCTGTTGGGGTCAAACATATTTAGCCAATAACAGATATGCAAACCAGCTAAAGTAAAACGTGTATCAAGATCAAGTAGGCAGCATAAGTAAAACATAGTTACTGCTAAAGGGCATGTTGAAGCGAGCTGCAACTATGTGAGAAGGCTGCAGGAGATTCTTGTTTGTAACCCTGTTGCATGATCTTATTTTAGTACTGACAACCTCCTAACGTTCAGAAGGCTTTCAATTGGATGTAAACAACCAAACTATCACGTTAATGATGAATATTTACAACATGTCAGTTAGCTTTAACCCAATTATATTAGTAAAATATCTGCATTCCAAGCCCATGAAATAATGTTGGCTAGCCAGCTATAGCTTCAAAGTACTACGTTAGACTAGCATCAACGGTCTTTAAATAGCCGTTAATGTTACCAATGTTAACAAGCATTTCACCACTGAGAGATAAAACTACAATGGTATTTAGGTGTCTGCCTACATATAAGACATCAATTTACCTCACAAACATGCAAAGCACTAACAGTTAGCATGCCGTGCTAATGTAAATAATTCGACCGCCATCTTAGCTTAGCTACGTTCATCAGCTGCACCGCCACTAATGCTAGCGGCTGTGCTAACGGCTGTTAAACTTATCTAATGGAAAGGAGCGCTACAAAATGTCAACTGACCGTTTTAGCAGCGAGGCCTGTACGTTTGTCCCATAAAAAATCCGTGGTGGCGTTGCGGGTTTTCCCAAATACTTATTGCTAACTCGGTATTCACCGCTCGATTGCTAACACGTAGCCAACGTTTTTCACCCGTCTAGCCAGTACACCAAGTTCTGGTTTGAACTAGTGAGGAACGCCTCCCTGCGCTAAAACGTTGTACCAGCTCCGTACGTGCACTGCTGCCAACTAGTCAATGGGCTGCATTTATCAGCTAAAGTCATTAATGCCATTGTGGCGGAACAATATTTATGTACAAATTATGGAATTATTTTAAATGATACAAATCTCCAACTTGTCCTGTTGCTTATCTTGTAAGCGTATTTAAATAGAGCCACAGCATGCGATTGAAAGTTACATGGAAATTTAGTTTTTCCATGTTTCCATGTCCACGATGTTTTGTATTTGTAATCATTCAAAACGTCCCTCTTAAAAAGTGCACACAAAGTAAGAAATGTCAGATCTGATTTTGAGAACACAGCTTGGTTTCTATTAAAAGCAATGATTAAATGCCTTTCAAAGTTGGCACGTTAGATTTGAGGTGAATTTATTGTATCGAGACATAATTGGATGAAGACACGCAGGGTTTTCTTTTTGTTTTTGTTTGTTTTTTAACTAAGATTTATATAAGGTTATGGATCCAACACATGGACATTAATATCTGGTACAATTTTTAAAAAACATAGATAGGATGACATGTATACATTATAGAGGAAGATTTGCCCAAATGATTGAATATATATACTATATCTTAAACATAAGAACAGTCCGGGACTGCATGCTAGTGCCAAGGGTCAATCTTTGTTACATATAATTTCAAGAATTATAGTTCACCTTCCATGATAAGATTTGTTCGTAAATTACTTTCTAATTTTTTGTGTCTTTTTGTATTACTAGGAAGAAAAATCTTTGAGTAGCTGTTTTTCTTATTTGGCATAGTAGATTCAATTCCACTTCTATTGAGCCTTCTTTGCCTAAAAATATTATGGACACAGTGGCTTTTAACAAGTGATTTTTGCTTCTTTTATTTGCATTTTCCCATGGCAAACAAATGTAAAACATTCCCACATATTTATAATAGATGGTTTCCTCTTAATCATAAAATACAACTTAGATGCTTGAAGAAAATGTACACTTCTTTATTTAAAAAAAAAAGTTAAGGCATTTATAGACTAAATATTTATTTGCATGGTTTAAAGACAATTCAGTTTTTAGTTAAATATAACCTTCATCAACATATGAAATGTATTTTGCATCAACTACGGTTGAAATTGCAACTGATATTGCACACATCGGACCAAACACACATTTTCCAAAATAATTAACAATACCATGATATTGCATAATATGCATTTAGAACTGCAGATAAAAAATGGCTGCTGGATGAGGTAACTTGGCCCTTTGGAAAATATGAAATCACACTTGCAACTAGGAGTATGCAAGTGTGAACGACATGGTCTGGTTTGGCCAGAAAAAGGCCACGTTTTAATGGGTAACAAAAGTAAGTCGAACATTGCATGAAGAAACCTGTACAGGCCCAGCAAACAGTACACTTGTAAGCTACTGATACTGGTGCACCACTTCAAAACATTCCTCTTGCTCTCTTATAACTCATTCATCGTTCCTTCTCATTCCTTCAATCTGTTGATTGTGATGATCCTAAAGTAAACAAAACAGAGAAAACAAAGACATTAGGAAACACTATATTTCCTCAATAGTTTTATATATATATTAAAGAATTTACCTCAAATTAAGTTATGGAATTTTATCCTTGTCCATCAGTTGTGACTCAATTTTCTGTCTCAAATTAGCCATGGATTCCAAGCGTATAGAGCCTCGGTAGAGCCACTCCTTATGCTGATCACTCTGAAAACACACAAAACTATTCAATTACATATTCCAAATGGGAGTTAAGATAAATAAAAACTTTTAAAATGTATTTTCAAAGAATAACAATGTGCCCCTCACCAAAAAAGAGACATGTATCAAGCTGCTGTCCACTGACAAAACCTCACACTTCTGCTGCTCCCCATTATGCTCTGCTCTCAGTGTCTCTCCAACCGCGCAACAGAGCTGGGATGGGAAAGGCCAGCGACTCAAATACTCCCTCATAAAGATCCTGTAGGTTTTATTGGGAATGTCATCCAAAGGGTCTTCCACTGTTTCAGAAAAAGTCAATCAATCTTTAAAGTGCTAATATCACAGCAGCAGGAGCAGTTCAAACAAACAAAAAAAAATGGTTGTATACATTGTATATAGGATGTAAAAATCTACTTCCAGGCAAAAATTAAACCCCCAGGATGTGAAGCCCAACACATTTCCCAAAGTTCAAGACCAAAACAGTTTTCAGAGATATACATTTGGATGTATTTGAAGATATTACTTACATGGTTTGCACACAAGGTGGAGTGAAAGTAGGTTAACATAGACTGGTGTGTGATCGTCAACCATCACCAAGAATCTGGAAAATTTAAGGTATAGATATATATATTTTTAAACTTTGTTCCTCATACAAACTTACAAATTAACTGCTTGTTTCAATCTAAAACTGAAGGAAGGCCATTTCTAATAGACCTAAACAAACATACACACAAACCTCATGCGGTTTGATCGGGAAGGAAGCTCTGCGATGACACCAGGCGTGAACACTGGATTACCAGGTGGCTTCTGTATCACAACACGAGCGCCAACAAACAGCTGACCCACCTTTGGCATGCAGGTAAAGGCAATGTGGTGACCGGACACCAGGCACTTCCCCCTCTCCTCAAAAACAACTTTGTATTTCAGCCTGCCATCATCTGAGAATACGGGAAACTATTTAGGGATTCATCATTTTCAATAATAGGCACATTTTCTTTAACATACAGCGGTTTGGTAAACATCCCTCCTTGGTGTTGGTGGAAAAACAGCTGCTGTGTTTAAATCCAGCACAACAAAATGCCACCAATTTCAAGTTTGTTGAAGTTAACTGCAAGGCAACATTCCCTCTTGACAAAACAAAAAAACAACATAATTTATTTAATACCTTTTGTTATAATTTCTTTAATTGTCCCTCGTTTCCAATCAAGTTTGCCGTATTTTGCCAGGACGCTCATGTTAATGCTGATCTCTCCCGGTGTCAGTCTTTGAACAGTCTTGGCCGTGTCAGCGTGGTTGCTCCCAGGAGTTACTGTGACAAAACATCAAGCATATTTCTGCCTATAACACTGATGTAACACAGGAAGTTAATGGATCAAATGAAGGCTTGTTTTCTTTGTTTTTTTCAAACCAAATCAGATGTAAAACATGAAAAATATCTGGTCAGTAGTCCAGTTTAATCTAGTCTGATGTTTATCGTGTGAAAGTCCACATAAATCATAATCTACTCAAAAATATCTAAAACCTAATTTTTATTTCCTCCCCACCTAATTTTTAAGAAATATAAAATGGAAAATTTCATCGCCTTACCCAGAGGAATGGCTTTTGTGGTCTGTGCTGTTGTTTTTTCTGTTGTGTTTGATGCTGATTTGCTGCTCTTAGGGTCACTATCTGGACTTCTTTGCGGTGCTGATGATTTCATTGTGCTACTAGCACTGAGTGGGGGTGCAGATGTCTTTCCTCCATTGACTTCGGCCACAGTGTTTTTCTTTCTTTTAGAGGCTGAGTGACTCCTCCCCCGTTTTTTACTTCTTCTCCCTTTTTTTGACTCAGTGTTAAAATCAGAAAGAAAGTCAGAATCACTTGAGCTATTTTCTGGAACCCACTGATCGTCAGACTCACTGCTACTCTGATCCAAGCATGGACGTTTAACACTTTTGATCTGAGATGGACTAAGTCTGGTAAGAACCACCTTCGCATTTCTCCTTAAAATGGGAAAGCTGTTTTGCACATTGTTTCTCTCCTGATCGTGTTTGCTGTTAGGCCCCTGGGGAGCTGGGTCTTTAGAAGGGGATTGTGCAAGACCTAAACAAGGAATAAGAAAATGAATGAGAAATAGGCAAAGACTCAAGAAAGCAACATTTTTTCCCTCTTATGAAGTAAATCATATTTCCTACCACCACCTGTGGATTCCTCTTCAGAATCTGAGTCGCTGTACTCCCAGCCCAGCAACGAGTACAGCTCCCTCACATTTTCCTCACATGCTGCCACAGACCTGAATATTGCAAAAATAAATACATAATTAAAAAAAGGACAAAAACAGTTAAGGCAAATTCAATGTTACCTAACAAAAAGGCGTCACAAAGGGTTACAGCGGCTTCTCAAGCTCCTGGGATTAAGTTTTATTCTAACACCTATGAGACCTCCATCAACACAAGTTTTGTGCTAAACTTTTTATTCCTAGGACCTGAGTGCAAATTTCATACCATAAATACGTAAATGTGAGCTGGTTTGACAATAAAAAATCCTTGAGTCCTTTCAGTATCAGAAAGGGGAGTTCGGGTTTAGGTTGCTAAAATGGAAAAAGAGGACATGATCTGAAAAGAGTGCATCAATTTTATAGCATCAGATCTGGTCGAATCCAAACAATATAAAGGATCACGATCATATACACCCAAATCTTTATTCCATCGAAAACTGAACCAGCATTGGCCTCAGACTAATAAAGTCTGAACTCCATTAGGTCAATCAGAGTCAGAGCCAGTCACAAGAAGCAGAAATAAGAGAACCACTTACTGGCAGAGCTTCAGGAGGCTGGAGGTCTGTCTAACCCTTTTTTCCAGAAGAGACTGCAGCAGACTATATATCTTCATTTCCGTTCCATCTGCCTCCATAATCGCTGCATAGCACATGAAAAAATTGTATTATTTTTATAAGAAGCTTGAAAGATGCCAAATAAAGGATACAGAACCTGAATATATCATGAGTAAGAATCCTCTGAAAACACTTCAGCAGAGGGGGTGGAACACCTCTAAAAAAAAGAAGGTTCCTATCATATATAGCGACTACCACCCACGCCCTAGTCAGATCTGACACTAAAAATAAATTAATTTGCATTCTATTTCAGGAGTTTTTTATTTTTATTTTTTTGGCTCTGTTTTTGCTTTTTTTTAAATTAAATTAAATTATTTTTTTTGCTTAATCCCTTGCTATTGCATGTGCCGGTAATAGCTATTTCAGTAAATTGCTGATATCATAAGAAACAACACGGGTAAAAACATGGACAGAATAGCTGGTTATTTTGTACATAAATCAGGTATTTTAAAGCAATGGCAGCCATAAAAGGGCAAAGCTGGACGAAGTCATAATTGAATTATTGAAACAAAATACTTTAATATATCCTCGAGTTAATTGTTATGTTTGTTCTAAACACAAACTGGCATAAGGCGGAAGCACGTGACCAAAAATGAATGGTATCATGTTTGAATACACCCTTTATGTTGAATTAATTTATTATTTAAATCAAAATGTGTTCTATTAATAGAACATCTTGCAAAAACGTACTTTATCTGTTACAATTGACACAATTTCATGTGTATTTCTGTTATTCTACAGATTACGTCATGACGTTTTACTGAACGTGCACACCTACCTCCAGAAGGGGAAGAAAAACTCGCACAGGAATATTTTGATGCAGACGAAGTTTTTACATTTACATTGTGTGAATCTTTGAAACGGCTCTATAACCAACTCATTTGTACCCATCTTATCCGTATGTTACTTACTGCAACACCCGGCGTCACACGTGTACGACTTCGGAACTTGATAAGGTTCTTTTTAGTGCGATTTAGCTGGCATCGACAAAGAATATTAAACGAGGAATCTCCTGGCTGTGAAAAACGGTGTTGAGCGCCACAACGCACAGCCCACACTTTTAATGATATAGTTTAAACTTTTTCCAGTACATACGTTTCACTAAACTAACGTTTTAAACACTCAAACCGAAATTCCTAGGCGGAAATCAACTTAACCCGTTTGATTCGAAATATATCAGTGGTGATTTTGCCCTGATAACTACTTAGATGAACCCTCTCCTTCCCTATAAATGCGCTAACTCAGGCTTACGTTTTACCTTATTGTTGCTTGTCTTCAGAATCTAATTTGTCGCCTTCTTCGTCCAAAAAGTCCTGCTCAGAGGAGGTCGGTGCTGCCCCCTACCGGTTTAAATCTTGTCCTCCATTTCCAAACAAAAAACACACTTTCAACATTTGTCTGAGGCAACAGTTCATTCAGTGACCTGTACTAAATAGGTCTGAAGAACATTCTAAAGAAAACAAGAAGAAACATATGCAGACAAATGTTGACCATGCACAGAAGGTTAAAAAAGCAGTAATTCGAAGATTTAAAAAAATAAAATGAAATTCAAATTCATCTAGTTAGGAGGCTGCATCAGCCCTGGGTAACAGAAATCAACCCATGTGTCAAAAGATGTTGGAAGAATATAAAAAGCTAAATGGGAACTTCCAAATCATGAAAATGAAATAACACGAAAGAAGAACACTCAAAGGTTTTAAGTATAAATAATCAGGTCAAACATAACATGCAAAAGGAAGTGAACTAAAGTGGTAATGCAAATTTTGAAAGAATTGACTGTGACATCCTAAAGTGTTCCAAAGAAGAGAATAGGGGACTTTTTAAACCCAAAACCTTGCCTTTATTTACATCCAGGCAGCTATTAATAGCTCAGATGAGTTTTGATGCCATTCCTGACTCTCGATCTGACTCTTTGGTGGTTTGTTGTGTAGGCAGTGCAGGCGGTTACGCAACACAAAGGGACCAGAGAATCTGCATGACTGTTTAACAGTTGGGTTTAATTCAAATTCACCTGCTGAGTTCATTACTTAGTAACAATATTTGTACAATTAACTAAAACAAAATAACATAAAAAGACAAAAAAAAACAGGCTTTCAATTTAACAGTTGAATAAATTAAACTTTATTGGGACTAAAATGCATTATTTTCCCCAAAAGTTCCAATGGCAGAAGTTTTTTTTTGTTTATTCGTCTATTTCCGTGTCCACAGCTACCTTCGGATTTACCTGTCTGTGGATTAATCGGACTCAGAGTCATCCTTGGCCTCTTCCCTCTCTTTCAGTTCCAAAAATCTAGCAATGTGTTCCAGTCGCATGGAGCCTCTGAAGATCCACTCCCTGCGCTGATTTTCCTAAACGAGACAAAAACATGGCATCCAATCACTCTGTCTAAAGAAAAACTGTTAAACTACAGCAGAACCTGGGATTCTTTCAGTCTGTCCGTTTGATAAATTATCTCTGCTCAGTTAAGGGTGTCATTCGAGTCACTTGAAAGAAAAGTCCCTCTTTGACCAATCATCTGTTTTTACTGAAAAACCACGAGTGGTTTATCAGATTTCCCCTCAACTTGATTTACTTTCTTTGTCTTTCAGACTTTGCTGTTCACTGGTTGGTAACTGTAAATACACTCATTACTGTTATTACAGTTTACCTAACTATGTGTACGGGTTAAACCTCCTAAAATCAAGTAAGGAAAAAGAAAAGGAAGAGAAATGCTGACCTGAAAAACGATCTGTATCAAGCTGCAGTCGACCACCAGCACCTCACACCTCTGCTGAGCTCCGTTTAATTCCACGTTAAAACTCTGCCCGGGCCTGTACTTGTTCAGACGAGGATATGGCCAATCCTTCAGGTACTGTTTCATGAAGCATTTGTGAGGCCCGTCTGGAAGGTCATCTAAAACATCATCCACTGTGGAAAACCAGAAAAACAAAAACCTCTCACTGTTCTTACTGGTGTTTACTGTACTGCTGTAGTCTCCAGTACTACTATGTAGTACTACTGTAGCAAACCGTGCTGCTCCACCAGAGTGGACACACTGATCTTGTTTAATTCTGTTAACAAATCAATGGCGTAAACAGAAAATATCTCCGAAAGTGTTTCAAAAAATACGAGGAAAACAATGAGATAGTCTTTCTGACTTTCTGAGCGTAAACTTACGCGGTCTACAAACCAGGTGAAATAAGGGTAAGCCAACGTAGACCGGTGTGTGATCATCCATGAACACCAAGAACCTGAAAAAAAGAAAACACGGCTTCAGAGAACCAGGCATTCATCTGTGTTTCTGGCTTAACGGGTGCGAGTGCCAGCAGCGAATGGCCTACACACCTGAACTGATTCTTTCTGCTGGGGAGCTCGGCCAGGATACCGGGCCGAAATCGGAACTTGTTGTTCTGACAGCGGACCACCACGCGGGCGCCGACGTACAGCTGCTCCACCTTCGGCCTGGTGTCGAAGGCAATGTGGTGTCCAGACACAAGACACTTGCCCTTTTCCTCGAAGCTAACTTTGTACTTTAAGCGCCCATCCTCTGGAAAAGGTGAACAAAACCCGGGAAAATCACCATTATTCATGTTATATCATCACCCCATGACAGAAAAGTTCAATTGCAAGCTTTAAATATTTAATTTTGTTTGAGAAAGACGTGTTTGTGATGCCCTTAGTTGTACTTTTACTTGCCTTTCGTTACAATTTCCACAATTTTCCCCCGTTGCCACCTCATAGGTCTCCTCCTGGCAAGGACCATCATGTCCACTTTGATGTCCTCCTCTGGCAGGTCAGGGCAGATCTTTGTGTTTTCGTGAGAGCAGTGGGCAAAAACTAAGGGGGGGAAATAACATGTTCAATAATGGTTTCTTTTTTCAGCCGCTGTGGTTAACTGTGGTGCTAAGTGGTAGCTTTGTGCCTTACCATTGCTGTTGTTGCTGGTTGTAGGTACCGCTGGCGTTCTTGTGGTGGATTTTGAACTTTTGTTTAAGATTGAAAAGTCCGAGTCGCTGGAATCCTCCTCCGATTCCCACGGCATATCGGAGTCCGAGCTGCTGAGGGATTCGTCCTCGCTGTAGAACTGCGGAGGAGTGGGTGGTCGCAGGGCGCTAATCTTATATTCTGGCAGCCGGGTCAAAACCACAACCGCTTCTTTTATTAGACTCAGAGCGTCACAGCCATTTTCCCACTTTGTGGCTTTACTGGGAGTTTCGTGCATGGAGTGAACAGAGTCACAAGGAGATTCAGACATCACCTCTGCAAAGAAAAAAAACGTTTGTGAAGTTGTGGCTGGCAGAAAACAGAGGATACGGCATCTGTGCGTCCTGGTGGTGGAACATTGAGCCAAACCACTGACTTGCATGCTCGTGTGTGTCTATTTTCTCTGCGAATGTCTACTTACCATCATCCTCTCTGTCCTCATCAGACTCTGTCTTTCTCTTGTTTTCTACCCTTCTTCTGGACTCCTGAAGCTCCAGCCTTCTAGTCTCCACTTCATCCAGCTCCATTACTATTTTTTCATCCTTAGGGATAAAAAATAGCATATAATTAGCTAGTGTGCTACTATGTGATAGTAGCTTCATTCCATTAGGGGTTTACACTGGAAGGCTGGAGCCTATTGAAGGCAGGACAGTTTTCCAGTGCACAGACCCAAACGAGAGTGAAACAATGCACTGAATAGGCAAGAAGAAAAAAGAAAATGTCAGTTCAAACTTTTAATAATCAAATTGAACTTAAATGGCAACCAGTGACCCACATGCAAATAGTTACACTGTCTTCCCTGGCTGTGATTCTCAACAATAAAACAGGTGCTGAGGATTTAAATCAAGACAGAGAGAAGACCAGCTTATTATTTGGACTCAAAGCCTTTAGGCCAGCTAAGCAGAGAAGTAATTGGATGAAACATCTTACATAAAACTGGCATGGCCTGCTTCTTGTACTGTAGCTGGGGGAAAGTATTCACCAGAAAACTGCAGCAGGTTTGGAGTTTATGTTCAAGTCATATTCTGATAGACTATTCATAAAAATATAGAAAAACATTACAAAAAAAAACAGTTTGGACAGCATAAAAATTGCCAGCCATCAACTTTTTTTTTTTTACAGGAGATAGACTGTAAACAGTAAGACAAACATAGGTTTGTCAGTGAATTTCCCAATGAGAAAGTTCTGCTATTGTCATAGCTGCCTCTGGTCTGGTGCACTGACTCTTCCCTCAAATGATGCTTTAAAGTAATAAATGCTTATGTATTTGATGAGATGACCCTAGACACTAGCTGTTGTGTAAAGTTTGAAAAATATAACAAATATAACTTTGAGATGGTTTTATTACACAGCTGCATCAGGTATCTCTAATATAGATTTTTCTCCAACATCAATTTTAACATATCACAACATCAGACCTTTGAAAATGATGTACGTGAGCATTTTTTGGCCAAATCAACTGTGAATCCTCCACATCTTTCCAAACATCTCTGAACACTTGAGGTAATGAACCTCTGAACAGTCTATGAAGATTAAAGCTGTGGAACAAAAACCCATGAAGTTCTTTGGCATGTGTATTCTCATGTTCAAGTTTCTATACAATTTCTCCATTTACATTTATCACACGTACGTGTATGTTTCCGCCACATCCTGGAGCCATCTCTCTATATTCAAGTCATACCTTCAAGCTTTTTTACTTAACAATTGCAAACCAAATGGCCAGCTCTGACAAAGGAATGATCCATGTTAACAAGGTTTCCACTTGTGAAGGGAATTTAAAAAAGGATGCACAAGCCTATCTGTAAACAGAGGCAAATATTACACGGAAAAACGGATCAGTTGGTTAGATTTTGAAAGCCATGGTGGCGTGTGTTTGCGAAGGATTTTTTAAAAACAACTATTTATGGTAGTGAGTAGTGGT